CCCCTTTTGGAAATTTTTCGTTTTTCAATATTTCAAAAGAAAAATAGATCATAAGATAGTAGCTTTTATTAGTAAGTATGTAATTAACGGAATAAAACACGTCCTTTTCCATATCACACCCAGTATCAACCCTCGACCAATGTCAGCCCTAGGGCTGATAATGCAGTCTCGGGTTGATACTGGGTGTGATATGGGAAAAGACATGTATTATTCTCTATTTATTGCAGTGGGAATCTCAACCGTTTCAAAGTTATTGCCCAGAAATTAAGTCAATAAGGGTGGGGCTAGACCTAAGATTCAATAGTAATATCATGATTGTGTCAGTATCTAAATGCACAGCAATGGCATATTTGGTTTTATTGCAGTGGGAATCTCAACCGTTTCAACGTTATGACGCAATAATCAAGGCCAGAACTTAGAACCTGTATGGTTATGAGGTGGGGATCTCAACCTTTTCAAAGTTATGGCTTCAGGAATGAAGTCCAAAGGGTGGGGTCAGACCCACGATATGATTGTGTTTGTTTATTGATGCTCAGCAAATGAATACCTAGTACAGGGTGTGGATCTGGATAATGTGTAAGCTGAAAGAGAAACAGTCGCTTGAAGCAATATGGCCAATTATCCTTTTTTAGCCCGCCATTTGTACAATTTTGAATCCATACCATTAAGGGATGTAGATGTTACAAACCAAAAAGGGTTGATATCCTTTACTTTATTTCATTAAGTCACTTAAAGCAATATGACAAACTGTGAAACACTGTGTTGTAACACGATGTTGTATGTGATGTAACACCATGTTGTATGTGATGTAACACTGTGTTGTATGTGATGTAACACCGTGTTGTATGTGATGTAACACTGTGTTGTATGTGATGTCACACTGTGTTGTAAGTGATGTAACACTGTGTTGTAACACAATGTTGTATACTGTGTAACACCATGTTGTATGTGATGTAGCTTCATGTTGTCTGTGATGTAACACTGTGTTGTATGTGATGTAACACCATGTTGTATGGGATGTAACACTGTGTTGTATGTGATGTAACACTGTGTTGTATTTGATGTAACACCATGTTGTATGTGATGTAACACCATGGTGTATGTGATGTAACACTGTGTTGTATGTGATGCAACACTGTGTTGTAACACAATGTTGTATATTGTGTAACATCATGTTGTATGTGATGTAACACCATGTTGTATGAGGTGTAACACCATGTTGTATGTGGTGTAACACCATGTTGTATGTTGTGTAACACCATGTTCTATGTTGTGTAACACCATGTTCTATGTTGTGAAATACCATGTTATATGTGGTGTAATACCATGTTGTGTGTGATGTAACACCATGTTGAATGATGTGTAATAACATGTTGTGTGTGATGTTACACCATGTTGTATGTTGTGTAACACCATGTTGCATGTGATGTAACATTATGGTGTACGTGATGTAGCGTGTACATTGTGTTGTATGTGATATAACACCATGCTGTTTGTTTGTGTGATGTAGCAGTGTTGTATGTGGTATATATGATTGTTGTGTGAGATGTAACACTGTTGTATGTGGTATACGATTGTTGTGTGTGATGTAATGTAACACTGTGTTGTATGTGATGTAACACTGTTTTGTATGTGATGTAACACCATGTTGTATGTGATATAACACTGTGTTGTATGTGATGTAACACTGTGTTGCATGTGATGTAACACTGTGTTGTATGTGATGTAACGCTGTGTTGTATGTGATGTAACACCATGTTGTATGTGGTGTAACACCATGTTGTATGTGGTGTAACACCATGTTGCATGTTGTGTAACACCATGTTGCATGTGATGTAACATCATGGTGTACGTGATGTAGCATGTACATTGTGTTGTATGTGATATAACACCATGCTGTTTGTTTGTGTGATGTAGCAGTGTTGTATGTGGTATATATGATTGTTGTGTGTGATGTAACACTGTTGTATGTGGTATACGATTGTTGTATGTGATATGTGATGTAACACTGTGTTGTATGTGATGTAACGCTGTGTTGTATGTGATGTAACACCATATTGTATGTGATGTTTTTTGTGTAACACCATGTTGTATGTGATGTAACAACATGTTGCATGTTGTGTAACACAATGTTGTATGTGGTGTAACACCATGTTGTATGTGGTGTAACACCATGTTGCATGTTGTGTAACACCATGTTGCATGTGATGTAACATTATGGTGTACGTGATGTAGCGTGTACATTGTGTTGTATGTGATATAACACCATGCTGTATGTTTGTGTGATGTAACACTGTTGTATGTGGTATACGATTGTTGTGTGTGATGTAATGTAACACTGTGTTGTATGTGATGTAACACTGTGTTGGATGTGATGTGACACTGAGTTGTATGTGATGTAACACCATGTTGTATGTGATATAACACTGTGTTGTATGTGATGTAACACTGTGTTGTAGGTGATGTAACACCATGTTGTATGTGATGTAACACCTTGTTGTATGTGATGTAACACTGTGTTGTATGTGGTGTAACACTGTGTTGTATGTGATGTAACACTGTTTTGTATGTGATGTAACACCATGTTGTATGTGATTTAACACCATGTTGCATGTTGTATAACACAATGTTGTACATGATGTAACACCATGTTGTATGTTGTGTAACACCATGTTGCATGTGATGTAACATCATGGTGTACGTGATGTAGCATGTACATTGTGTTGTATGTGATATAACACCATGCTGTATGTTTGTGTGATGTAGCAGTGTTGTATGTGGTATATATGATTGTTGTGTGTGATGTAACACTGTTGTATGTGGTATACGATTGTTGTATGTGATGTAACACCATGTTGTATTAGTATGTGATGTAACAATGCTGTATGTGGTATACGATTGTTGTATGTAGTGTAACATTGCATTATATGCGATGTAACACCATGATGTATGTGATACGACACTGTTACATGTGATGTAACACCATGTTGTATGTGATGTAACACCATGTTGTATGTGATGTATGTTGTGTAACACCATGTTGTATATGATGCGACACTGTTGTATGTGATGTAACACCATGTTGTATGTGATGTAACACCATGTTGTATGTGATGTAACACTGTGTTGTATGTGATGTAACACCATGTTGTACGTGATGTATGTTGTGTAACACCATGTTGCATGTGATGTAACATTATGGTGTACGTGATGTAGCATGTACATTGTGTTGTATGTGATATAACACCATGCTGTATGTTTGTGTGATGTAACACTGTTGTATGTGGTATACGATTGTTGTGTGTGATGTAACACTGTTGTATGTGGTATACGATTGTTGTGTGTGATGTAACACTGTTGTATGTGGTATACGATTGTTGTGTGTGATGTAACACTGTTGTATGTGGTATACGATTGTTGTGTGTGATGTAACACTGTTGTATGTGGTATACGATTGTTGTATGTAGTGTAACATTGCATTATATGCGATGTAACACCATGATGTATTTGATACGACACTGTTACATGTGATGTAACACCATGTTTTATGTGATGTAACACCATGTTGTATGTTATGTAACACCATGTTGTATGTGATGTAACCCTGTCTTGTAGGTGATGTAACACCATGTTGTATGTGATGCATGTTGTGTAACACCATGTTGTATATGCTGCGACACTGTTGTATGTGATGTAACACCATGTTGTATTAGTATGTGATGTAACAATGCTGTATGTGGTATACGATTGTTGTATGTAGTGTAACATTGCATTATATGCGATGTAACACCATGATGTATGTGATACGACACTGTTACATGTGATGTAACACCATGTTTTATGTGATGTAACACCATGTTGTATGTTATGTATGTTGTGTAACACCATGTTGTATATGCTGCGACACTGTTGTATGTGATGTAACACCATGTTGTATTAGTATGTGATGTAACAATGCTGTATGTGGTATACGATTGTTGTATGTAGTGTAACATTGCATTATATGCGATGTAACACCATGATGTATGTGATACGACACTGTTACATGTGATGGAACACCATGTTGTATGTGATGTAACACCATGTTGTATGTGATGTAACCCTGTGTTGTATGTGATGTAACACCATGTTGTATGTGTTGTAACACCATGTTGTATGTGATGTAACACTGTTGTATGTGACGTAACTCTTTGTTGCATATGATGTGGTGAGATGAGGAATCTCAACCCTTTGGGAAAGATTCTTAAGTAGCCAAGTAGGCTTATTTTACAAAATCTTTGAAATTTTCCCTTCGGTTGAGATTCCAGTATCTCTCTCACAAGGAGGCGAGAGATTCTACTAATCTTAGGGTCTTTTCATCTGTGGAATGTATTTGATTCTAGTATATCTTTACAAGCTAACTCTCCCTATTTTGGAGTGATTTTGTATTTTTTATTAATATTATTTCCCCCCTTTGGTGTATAAACACACATTTATGTATGTTTTTAATGCTGAGCAGGCATTATCTCTCTCATGAACATTTCAAAAAGTTGACAAGTATGCATATCTTTGTCTGACGATGTAGTAAGCATTGACATTGTATTAATCTTGGCCCCTTGTGGACCTATCCTTTAAATTCAAGTCCCTGAAATACGATATCTATTCAAGTCACATATTATGCTGTCTTTGGTCATGGAAGGTTCAGACAAAGTTTTATTGAAATCGGTTCAGTGAGGTTTTTTAGAAGAGATTTGAAATTATTTTGTTTACAGACGGACAAGACAGCTATACACCACGATCTATAAAGATTCTTTCTACTACTTTCACTTGAGCATAAGAGGGTGATTTTAATAATGGACGAAACTTGTTACATTGTGATAGTTATATAAGTTTTAAAATCAGGGGATGAATTTAAGATCAACATTGGGCAATTTTCATTTTAAGAGACAGGAGTTTGAAATCTTGCATGACATCTTACAGTAATGAGTTGCCAATTCAAGGAATCCAATTGAAATTACCATGTAACACATTTTTTTTATATTTCATTTATTCGAATTCAAATCTGAACATAAGTTAATGTCTAAATTGCAAGAATGTCTTTAATATCTAAATAGCGTACTAATTTTGAATCTTAAAATTTTAACAGGGAGCATCTTAAAGTACATTATAACAAACGTATGCCTACACACATGGTATTTTCCTGAATACCTTAGGGTACATACATTGATACAAGACATCCACAAAATCAAACATTTTACATGCACTTTCAGTCAGACATTCCTTTCAACACTGCTTAAATGTACTTTAGCACTCTCCCAAAGACAGAGAAAGAAATGGTGAAATATTTGGGGTTAAGGTGAAACATCATGAAATTTGTCCAGGCATTTTAATTTGCACTATTAATCCCATGCCTTATTTTAAATTCTGAATAATAACCGATTCCAGATTCTGGCATACAAAGTTTCATATATGTATGCATCCATTCTTATCTATCAATATTAATAAATATTAGATTCAACAGGCTATAAAGGGTAATAGCCAGAAAGATGTTACATGACATTTCTTGGTCAATATTAAAATCCGAATCTGAACATCACACATCTCAGTTTCTCTAACTGCACAACAACAATAATGTTGACAGTGACTAAGCCTGTACTCTATCAAAGCAAGAACTACAACAAGTCAAACGGCCCAAGATCAAGGTCAACTGACCGCAGTATGTCACTGGTCGATCACTCCGTCCAGCAGGTGGTCAAGCCAGCAATCATTGTCAAGTGGTAACTCTCATAACTTTTACTTTTTAGCACAGACTCGCATGTACAGGGTCTATTAGTTACAAGCTTCTGAAGTGTCGTTTCACCTTGTTATTAGTTGAACATTGCTCCTCTGAAGTAGAAACTTTTCCAAATTCTATTTAAATGGTTTGTTCACAAATACTGAAAGCATCTCTAAATGCTTTTTTTAATGGTAATAGATATTTGAAAAGTGTTCTGAAAATCTTGGTCCTCCCATACATGGAAACACTCTGAGCCAACATCAACTAAGAAAGGGACTTGAATAGGATTCCATCACGTCACATGTTTTAAGTTGTGTAAATCTGGGATTCCATTACTCCACCATGTTAATCTCCCATGGCCTAAAGTAAAAAGAGATAAAACTTTTTATATACTCATTTTTTTTCAGGTAAAGTACTTGGTACATACTTTCCTTTTAAGAAACTGCACATGACTGAAACAATTCTAAACAACTGTGCATTCCACTCTTAATAAGCACATTGAATCGTGCATACCATTGTTTCCTCCTCTTAGAATTTATTTGTGAATTATGACAAAAAATAATTTTAAGCAAATGAAAAACATTTCTTCATTTTAGAAAACTGGTTTTAAAGAAGGAAATGAAATATTTATCAACATGAAATAAAGTATGTCTGTCGAAGTGAAAATAACAGTATATATGTTGATAATAAATCATACAGTACAAGCAAGATTCTAACTTACATCTCTTCCTTTTTTCAGCTTAGCATCAACTCTGAAACAAAAAATCATAGAGCAAATAATTTTTCGATTGTGTTGTTGCAAGTCCGGGTTTTAAGAACATTCCTTCTTAGCCTTAAAAGTTTTCCTTAACTTTAGCAAGATTTCTCTACAGGAAAATGTATTTAAAATATTATTCTTAATTCATATTTAACTACTTTTTGGTGATCTTGGTGCATCTTTCTTAATTCTGCTTTTATAACAAAACATTGTACACGAAAATCTCAATGCATTAAGCTCTTCTATTTGTATATATCGGACAAACTTCATTTGCAAATAAAAGGTTTAAGGGGAACATTTTTTTACAACTATAACCAGTTCTCATTAAGCAGTATGTATACATGTATTTTTTTGTAAAAATACAAAAGGGGAAAAGTAACTAAACTGACAGCTGTCTTGAATTTTTTCTATTCAATTTTAATAAGGATGAACAGACCTTAATTGAGAAAGCTTCAGTGAACAAATTGAGAAAAGTTTAGTGAACACAGTTTGATGGTAAACTCTTTGTATTTCGAAAAGCTGAATAAAACAGAATGCTAGACTGGTTGCCCAGAAAACAGCGCTTTTGTTACCAAAATTTTACAAAAGCCTGTTCCTTTATGAATTTGGAAAATATAGCATTATTTGTATTGAAATTGGGAAAATTTTCCTCAGTTTTTGGTCATTTTGGGAAAATAAGGCTTTTTTTAGGTAGCAGTGTACAGTAGCGTACGTAGGCCAAAGGTGATATTTTTGTACAATGAATAACCCATGTAATATTACATGTTTCAAAATTAAAAAAAAAAAATCAGCACTAAAATTGGCATAGCATGATGAAGTGGACTATGTGGGCTTCACATTTCCAAAAAAAATCGAACTTGGTTTCAGACCACATTTTTGGCCAATTGCAAATCTGTCTACACAACAAAAGCTAGCTTTTCATGTAGTCTATTTTTGTGTTAATTTTATGAAAAATCCAGTTGAACGACCTATGCTAAAGCGTGAGTATTTCCGTTATCGAGTAGGTTATATTCAATTTAAGGCGGGTTTAAGGAAAAACATAACTACTTGCGTGGATCAAATTTTGGGTTAAAAATCATGTTTTTTTGACGTTTTTTGATGAGGTAACCATGGTTTTCACAAGTCCCAATCTGGGGAAATCACTTTTTGAAAACAATTCTTCTAAAAAAAATGTTTTAAAAATGTAGTATATAAATATATATGTATATGTAGATGTATTGTGCAGGATGAATCCGCTATCCATGTTTATCTGAGACATGCCCTTTATTTTTAGGATCAAGCCATTTCTACTGTACTCTGCTACCTGTATTCGTCTGTAAAAAAACGCAAACATAATCACTGGAACACAATTACAAAATCAGCCCGTACCTATGGCGAGACTTGTTTTTGCCCTTTTTGTGTCGGATAGGTCCACCTCCTTTGTGAATCTTGCCTGAATGACTCTGTGAACCACTGTGACCTCCTGGGGATCCTGGACCCTGTCCATTGGTCTGCGGTGTGTTGGCACTATTTTGATTGTTTTGGGAGTCAGGGCTGGATGGTGGCTCTCGATCCCCTACAAATGAATAAATCGTTTACAAATACAAAACACAAAGGTTTGTTCAAGATGAAATCTTGCCATCTTAAGATTGAAAAGATACACTTTTCCAAACAAAGGTAGAGAACTCAAAAGCATTCAGCACTAGATAGACTGTTTGTTTGTGTCAGCTTTTTTATTATGGTTCTGTTTTTGGCAAAAAATTATATAATCTAGCTACATATATTGCAGTACTGTTTAGAATGTTCTTCGTGCAGTCTTCCACAGTACAAATGGGTGCATCATAAATGAAGATCTAGGAGGAACTATATATATATATATAGCTAGAAGACAACAGTCTGCAACTTTAATTCCAATCGATGTTCTAATAAAGAATAAAGACAGTACAATTTAGGACTATTTCTTACCCACACCACATGCATGGTTTCAACAATGAATATGTATACTTACTGTTTTTATCACTGTTGTCTGCTAATCCACTGACAGCCTGCACAACATACCAAAGGTTAAATATATAGTTTGAGATTTCTAGATATCATTTACCTAAAACAATGACCTGAATTCACTATGTAAAAGTAACTTCCCTTCCCAATGAATGTCGCCAAATTAAACAATGAAATTTGCTCAACTCATAAATGAAATTCAAAATTAGTCTTCAAGTTTGTACAGTATTAATGCTGTCCATGTTTTATCAGAATCCAGTCATATAAATACATTAATGAACCAGTCATCCATTCAGGGTTAAGGATGCTCATTAAAAATTTACTGATTTCACTCAAATCTGAAATCAGCTTCATTCTGTGTAAATTTCATTATGCTTACACAATTTCTCCTTCAAAATTGGATAACTTTGAAGCATGATATCGTTTGGAAACAAAAGTGAACAGACAGACAGGGTGATTGTAATAAAAACATTGATTGCAGGGCCCAAAATATAGATTAAGCCTGGGATTGGATGAAAATATGTTAAAACACATCACTCCAATTATACATAATTATTTGACTTACAAGAAAGCCAATGATAAAACAAATACAAATTATTCAGAAAATTACACATTTCAGTGAAAATTAGAGCTAGGGTGAAACATGATTATACATTAATCACGACACATCTTTAATTTCTTCACTGCTATAACATCTTATATTTTCACAATGTATTGATTCACAATGATACATTGTGAGAGTGATTTTCATAAAAACATATCAGAGTTGTGTATATAACTTTATTTGTGAATTAAACCTGGCTGTTTATATACCTGTATAATGTATAAATGTAATTTGATAAACAGTTTTACTAAATTATTAAAAGTTTCAAAATGTCAATTGCTGGAGTGGTTCATTGAAACTCTTTAAGATATGCACTGTACTTCACTTTATTCCTTTTTTGCATTTACAGTATATTATAAAGTAATACACAAGTAATATAAATCCATCTCTAGTTGAAGAAATACATATGAGATTCAAGGACCACATGATCTATGCCTATCATATATATATTTGATATATTTGATAAAGAAATAGCAGCAATGTGTTGTGTAAATTTGTAAAAAAAAAAAGCTAAAAAGAAGATGGTAGGATAGGAAAGATTAGAGAGAGAGTGTTGCTTAGATATACCCTGTGTTAAGTGATGATAAAATGCTATAAAGTACAGGGAGAATGCCACTGATAACGACAGGTACATTGTATATATATTGAAGAAGACCTCATTCATATCTTTGAGAGGTAATAATGACATTTTGAGTACAGAAGAAATTGAATACTTTTCATCATCTGACAGCTCCTCAATGTTCAAATAATGTTAATTGGTCTTGTTATTTTCCATAAATGAACGTAAAGGACTATTAAGGTGGCTCCACACATCGTCATCAGCGTCCATTTTCGTGACGTACTTCCGGAAAAAGTACAGCTCGGACTCAATTATCTTGATCGAAATGTGCATGTACACCGTGTCGTCATTTCCGTATTGCGTATCGGGCATTCAATGTCGTAGTGCAAATTATAGTAACACCTTGGCCGTTTTCGTTTAAACGGTCAAACCGATCGGACCACTGTTGTTCGTTTATTAAATAAGGTCGGACCTAGTAATCTGATGCTGCTTTCAGGCGAG